GACTGGCAGGAGTTCATAAGTAATCATGTCCGACCTGACGGAGGCCTGGAAGTGAGTGCGCGARGTGGTTATAAAAGGCTTCTACCCCCCCAGGGATGAGGKATGYTAACTTYCGYGCTAYCTGGTTAKTCTTGCCTTTGAAGGATTCTAACTTGAGCTTCGGAGCCCTTACGCCGGGTCCTCCCCGGAGCTTCTCTTCTCCTCCCGTTTCAAGTCCCCGTTACCCATTTCAGAGGCAAGATCATCAACAGCTAAGACCGGCCAGATCGTGCATCATCAATATATATTTCCCGTTTAAGTAAATGATCATTCCCTCTTTCTCCCTTGGAATGAAATCCCATTCCAGCTCATTCCAGTTTCGATTTGGATTATTTAAATAGATCAGTCTGATTCTGATTTCAAGAGATTTTAATTCTAATTTGATATCGATTCAAACCGCAAATCAAACCAAACAGACCCTTAAATGATGATAAACGATTAATGAATCTAGTAAAAAATGTATGCAAAGTTGTAAACGGAAGGACATTGGCAGAAGTGGGGTGGGGTGGGGTTGGGTGGTAGATCATTAGATCACGGATGGAACACCATGGACCAGGGCGCCATGCCGGAATGGACCCAGATAATTTTCATGCTTTTAACAGCCCAATTAGAATAGAAATGTCGTCTTACACGATCTCTTTTCCTAGTTGGATACGCTACTCATTTAGGTACATACCCGTTTGGAGATCACATCTTCGCCCCACAACTCCCACAGCACATCCTTTTGGGGTTACGGCTGAAATGGCCCATAGAGACACGTGGCCGCTCAGTTATCGTCTGACAACGTCGACATAGCTCGACTATGTCAATTCAGCACGGTTACGTCGGCTCAGCTCGGCCATGTTGAAATAGCCCGACCGAGCTATGTTATTATCATAGTCTCCCGCCTTATCCCTCCAGCCACATCAGCTACATGCCACGCAGATAAGCCCGACGACGGATAAGGGTGGGAAGACAACTCCGTCAAGGAATAAGACTCTACCCCGGTAACCTCGACAGAGAGCTCTAATCCGATTATTCCGGAACCCTAATTCGACCAGGAGACGGACCCCCAACTATAAAAAGGTACTCCATGCTCAAGGTAAGGGATCCCAACTACCAGCACCCATATTGTGACTTTCCTCGGACCAGCACCCTCATTTCTCGGCCCGACCATTCACCGCCCTCTCACTGACTTGAGCGTCGAAGTGTCTACCCAGGGACAACTCCTCGAGCCTCTTGACTTCTTCTCTTGATTGCAGATTACATAGCGCGACACCGTCCTTGTAAGCTCGGTGCCACCTAGTCAGCAAGGACTATCTGGTTGCCCTCCTCAGCTCGTGCATTACCTCAGATTGAGCAGCATCAGATTGGTGTCGTTAGTGGGAACGCACAAAAAGCCTTCACGAAAACAAAAGAAATCCTTTGCCGTGCAGCCTCAAAACTGACCAAGATGCCTAAAAACCAGTCCAAACGATCAACAGGTAGTTCCTCATCTCGGGGGAAATGGCGTCACAGCTCATCGCATCAGGAAGCCCTGCAACCCTCGGTCGCAGTGGATCCAACGCAGTTCTGAGCTATGCAAGAGAAGGTCGACAAGATCTTCGAGTTCATGCAGGCGCTGGGGTTTGCAGCGCCACCCAACTGGGCCGTCCCTCCCACGCCCCGACGTGCACGAAGGACGATCCTCGGACCGAGGACCCCAAAGTACGTCAGTTGGATATAAGGGGAGCGCGGTCCGAGCGAGAGAGGTAGGACACAACCAGAAGGCCCGCTTCTACTGCCCACTCCCGCAAACAGGATCACCACAGCCAGACTCGCCAGTCAGCTCGGATTCCCGCCAAAGAGAGGCTCGACAAGAGGACGCCGCCCTTCGTGGTCTCTGTTGCCCAGTTGAGCTTAGTAAAGGACCGTCCTACACAGCCTAAGAAGGAGATGGCCACCCACACTGCGGCCCCGGGCGATAGAGACACCGAGATCAAAGAGCTCCGGTAACGATTAGAAGAACAGGAATGCACTCAGACCCATAAAAGCGTGACGCCCGCCATGGACCAGCCAGCACGGGCTTCCGCGCATACCTTCAAGGAGCCGCCCTTCGTCTAGGACATCATGAACGAGATGGCCCTATTGGATGGCGAGCCCCCCCCCCCTAGTTCAACAAATACGACGGGAACACTGACCCATTCGACCATGTCGTGGCACTCAAAGCTCAGATGAGGTTGCACGGTGCGTCGGAAAGACTGATGTGCAAAACCCTTGTAGCCACCCTACAAGGTCCATCTTTGGCGTGGTACTCCTCTTTGCCGCTGCACTCCATAACGTCAAGGGACCACCTGGAGACACAGTTTCTGGTGCAGTTCATCGCTATCTAGAAGCA